GAGATCTGCGGAAATATTAACTCTCTTTGATGCATCCACGAGAAATATTTATGATTTGTCTGAATTTTTCGTAGCTGCATCACTTGAAGTAATATCGCCTGCATTTTTGGCTATGATACGCCATTTTGCAATCTATCAATTGTGCGAATTCAATACAAGTTAATAGCAAGAATATATTGGCTCGGTTGCACGGTGTACCTGGAAAGACAAACGAAAAAGAGGAAGGTCGACCTCGAATCACCACGAAACGACGTCGGCCATTTCACATCATTACAGGTAGTGATCCTGGACGAGCCAACATCAGGACTGGACCCCGAGGCTCGCCGTATCGTCTGGAACATTCTCCAGGTAAGCCGCGACGAATTCCGATTCCATTTCGATTCGAATTTTTTGCGCTGCCAGTCGAGTTATTCGCAGGAAGAGAAACGGGATCGAACGATTCTTTTGACGACCCATTACATGGAGGAAGCGGATGTGCTGGGCGATCGCATCGCGATAATGGCCCACGGTCGGCTGCAATGCGTCGGGTCCTCCTTGTTCCTGAAGAAGCACTACGGTATTCCACTTCATGCCGTGAATACTTTAGGAAAAAAATTTATAAGCATCCTATTCGGATCGATATTGGGACGCCATCGGGCTAATAATTGATCTTTAAAAAAAAATAGACCTGGAGGGTATCCCCAGCTGATAAAGAGAAAATCGTGGGGGAATCCTTCGTCCCATTCCAGCCTGACCCTGACCCTGGCTATCCACCTGTGAATTCTTTTCCTAGCAAATAGCGGAATGACACAGGGTCATGTTTGAGACGGGAATCCAGGAAGAGCCAGACTGTCTCAGGGCAAGGAAGGATCCACGAGGACGAACACCGAATCCTTTTCTTGCATACAGAGCCTAGGAATCGGGTGACATGCAGCGAAACCGTTTAAGTTGAACTAATCTGATCTCACAATGGATCCTACGGAATTCCGATTGATATCGACTGACTTATTCCCATTATCACTAGGTTTGAAAGCGAAACAATTAAAGCGAAACGAATCTAGTGCGTGCCGTCCATTATTGCGGATAATTATATTTCAAAAAGGGTTTGACGAGTTTTGTCCTGAATTTGTTTTATTCAGGTTGGCTTGCATATTTTAGATGTGGGACAAACCCAAGTTTTCTTACTTGAAAAGGATTTGGAAAGGAACCTGTTATGAAATAAGGTGTTCCATTCCCGAATGAAAAAAAGTCTCAAAGGGAGATGATCAAGGGGGGACGGGGTGGGGGTAGTACACGATGGAGGAGGTAAAGTACCCAGTAAGGGAAGAAAAAATATCACAAACAAATGTTGAAACTTACTCGAAGCCTTTCCTAAATTCCTTGAAATTCGTGCCGCCCGTCAGCGTTTAATGTTCGTCCAATGTGGACTCCTAATGAGAGGGAGCGGGTCAGGCCAATTTTGCTTACCAATGTGGGCTCCTGGGATGGAGCACAGAGGGTGAGGGGCATGCAGCACTGGGCCGAATTCCCATCAGATTCTAAGGTGAGGCTCGTATGACGGTGGTGAAGTGGGGCAGGCACGGATTCTGGTTTTGGGCTTGCACGATCTCGACTCTCTCGATCTCAATGAGCAGGTTGCCCAAATTTGAACCTGTGGCAAGACCAACTTTTGCTTTTCGTTTGTTGCATTAAGTCGATCCCACTTTTATCTTGACAGAGTGTTGGCCACTTCATCGAATCATTTCTGCCAATTTGCAAATTTCATTGCGTCAAAATGAAACCCGGCATTCCCATGCCCCCATCAAAAATTGCCATTGGGAATCCTAAATAATAAGCAGTTGAAGGCAACCATGAAGGCAACCACGAAGGCAACCATCGCTGAAGTACATTTGCCTCCTTTCAACTCCTACTTATCCGTCCCAGGGTTCCAGAAAAACATTAACGCATGATTACGATGACGTCATCACTTCTCTCGTCGGAATTCTCTGCGAAAAGCAAAAAAAAAAACAGCAATGTAATAATAATGTGCATTTCCGGACTTAGGGAGCGGCTACACCTTAACGGTTACGAAGACATCGGACTTTCAAGAGGGGAAAGTCCTGTCCCTTCTGCAAAATTCGTGCCCGGAAGCAGAGCTGAAGAGCAGCGCAGGCAGCGAAGCAAGTTACACGCTGCCCTCCTCGACGACGCACGTCTTCCCCACGGTCCTCGAAACGCTGGAGAAGACGAAGGCCCAGCTCGGCATCCGAAGCTTCGGCATCTCCGCCACCACCCTCGAAGAAGTCTTCCTCAGGTTCCCATTCGGTCAGCTCGATGCGGGATGGAGCGAAGGAGGCAGATTGAAGGAAGTTTGTCTTCAGGGTCGGAGAGGGAGCAGAAGCTAAGGGAGACATCGGGCAGACTCCACCCGGTCCGAACGACATCCATCGTGCCAGCACCTCCAGTGAGAACCTTCTGTGACCTCCCGATCGTCTGGCATTCCGAGGAATCCAATTTCCTTTTATTGCTCGCTCTTATTCCGTTGTCGTTTCTTCGTTACTTAGCTCATTGCTATATTTCCCCATTATAGGGCTGATCGAGATGGAAGGGAAGAAGAGTAGCAATTACATTTTTGTCCTGCAATTGAGAGCCCTTCTCACAAAAAAGTTCATTTACATCTCACGGAAATGGAAACTAATGATCGCCCAGGTGACGAAACAGTCTCCATTTTCATTCCCCTCTTCTCGTCATTCCATCCACAAGAAGCATTTTCCATTTCACTCCCAGGCCATCATACCACTGGGCCTGGTCCTTGGCGCTCTGTTCATCGACAAAGCCTTGACGGCCCCAGATCCAGAGCCTTTCTCGTTGGACATGAACGTGGGCATCTACGGGGAGAACTTCGTCCTGTATGAAGTCTGGCCTGGTCTCGATGGAAAACTCATCAACTGCTTTCTCGATGGACTGCCGGGTTCCAGTTCGCCTGAGGTGACGGTTTCCGATCCCTTTCGTGCAATTCGCAGTCCAAATCCTACAAGCGATAAAATGTCGAGATGTTGGCAATATGTTGGCGAATTTCTAAACTTCGTTGCGATGATTCCTCCTGATTATTCCTAATAGAGCTCGGACGGACTGGACTTCATCCAGAACTTGTTGAGAATCGGGACAGATGATTTGGAGAAGTACCGATTCCAGTACGTCATCGGCGGATCCCAGACCATGAAGGAAAGGCCGTTAAACGGAACTCCCACTTTCACAGCCTTCTATCAGTCCTCCCCGCTTCACAGTAGCGGGATCACAGTGAACCACATGAGCGACGCCGTCGCAAAGTTCATCCTCGGGGCGGAGCATTCCATCCTCGCGTCCAACCAGCCACTCCCTAGGAGCATGTTGGTCAGAGGAATTCCCCACAGTAACACCCTGTCGAAATTGATTCCAAGGAACTGCAGGCTGGTGGTATTTCCTAACAGAATGAAGCGATCCAGAGTTTCAGGCGTAAAGATGAGTACTATGTGTTCTTGGAGTCATCCACGATATACGCCAGCCTCCTGGCCCTGGGGATGTCCCTCCTCGCCAGCTCCTTCGCCATCTTCCCCACCGAGGAAAACGGATCGACCTCCAAGCAACTCCAACTCATGACCGGGGTCAGGACTTACCTCATGCACCGTCTTTTAGGCGTCGGTCGCGAATGAAGGAATGATTGCAGGTGCGGTCGGAGTGGTACTGGGTGGCGCACTTGATGGGGGATGGATTGGTCTTCCTCGTCGTTTCTGCCTTGGTCGTCGGGATCGTGGGCGGAGTCGATGTCAACGGAATCTTTGCTGATAATCACGGGTGTCTCGGTCAGCTGATTCATTTTATCAATCCGTGCGGACGGATAATAGGAGAAATTCCAGGGGTTTGATGATGACTCCTGTCATACTGGACTTGGTTGGCAAATTAGGAAGAATACTTGAGATGGATGAAAATTATGGGAAATAACACGTCCCATTTTCCGTTCGTCCTCATTTCCACGCATGAATGTGAAGCCTTAACAAAATATAATTCAGCAAGCTGATTATTCGAGAAAGGACAGCATTCTATGATGATACATGTAAACATCATCTGTTAGCATCTGATGTGGGAAGAAAAGGGAAATTTTATTATCAGATCATTTTAAAGGACTATTCCTGCAATTTTAGTTCTATCAATGCAACGCATTGATATAACTTAAATTTTATATTATTACTCGTGTCTCTCTCCTTGGAAATGACTTAAAGGGATTAAGGAATTTATACATCCATCGCAATACTGTTGGAAATTTGGTCATATGGAATTTCGTTCAGCATTGTGAAAATATCCTCCTGAAGGGGATTTCCGGAGAAAAAAAATTTCCTTGCTATTCGAGTTCACGTTAATAATGATGATCGCGAAAAAAAATGAGAAAGACCTGACTGTTATGGATTTCACTTGACCGTTGTCACAAACGGACAGGTTCTTTCTTCTGTCTGTTGCTGATGTACGGCTTCGCCGCCCTTCCCTTCGCCTACGTCTTCAGCTTCCGATTCAAGAACAGCGGGGCGGCGTTCGCGGTTCGCACGCTCGTGGATGTCTTTTTCGGTCTGGGCGGTTTCCCTTCACTTTTCCTTTCGTCGATTCGTTTGCGGATGATGGCGTATTTCTATGCTGTTGCAGGGGTGTCGTTCTTGGCGGTCGCATTGATTTTCGAGTTAGATGAAATTAGGAAGAACATTGCACCGATCATGAAGGTCCTCGGGGGCCTGTTCCCAACCTTCGGTTTCGGCCACGGCATCTTCAACCTCATCGACCTGGCCTACAAGAACGCCCGATGCAAGGCCATCGGAGACGACATATTAAAGTTCTTGTGCTCCAGCCCCAACATCACCCAAGAGGCTGTCCCTCTCACCATCTGCTGCGGTCAGGGGTTTTTGATTCCAATTCATTTCCATTTGCATTTCGATTTCGACTGAATTCTCTTTCGGGTCTTACCTCTTCCAAGAGTAGAGGCATTGTAAGGAGAAATAATTTAGCGTAAATTCTTTGCTTGTAGTCTATAAATGCATGTGCACGAGGATATACGCCTTTCCTTTGATACATTTTGATGTGTCAAGTGCCTGATGATACTTTTTAACTTTTAAACGCATTCAAAGATATTTTTCTGTCGTGTCTATTCCTCTTTCTCCAGCCGAAGAGAAACTGTTGAAAATTCCATGTTACCGTTGAGAATTTTATTTAAAACGTTCAATGGTAAGTCTTCTGGCCCAGCAGACAACTGCAAGGACATGCCGCTTGGCTGCTTCGAGCCCGAGAGCTTCATCAGACCGGAAGGCGTGAGCATCCTGCAAGCCATCATCATACTGGGATGCTCGGGCCTCTTCTGGTTCGTCTGCCTCTTCGTCCTCGAGCATCGGTACCTGCAGCGACTCTTGGCCAGGCTCTTCGGATATTCTGTGGCGGATGCCTCTGGGAAGATTCAAGTGGACGAGGATGTTCTGCATGAGGAGGAGCGGATCAAGGACCTTCTCCAAATAGGTTTTATTTCTATCTGAACGAGAAATTCTTGGGGGGGGGGGGTTAATCTTTCTACAAGCAAATCGCATTTCACACGCGGCATTACCTTCGTTTTGAATCAAATTTAATCTTCATACGACAGAGTGAAATTGACGGATGAAAACGAAGAAGCGAATTGAAAAGAAGCATAGGTGCAACTCGGTTTAGTCCGTGCAGTCGTCTCTTGGTCGGATAGGAAGTCCTTGAAATAGCGGGGAATCCTGGGAGTTCGTTGGTCCATGCAAGTGAAATGCATGCTGGAGTCATAAGCTAATTGTTATGCTGAGACCTTTTTTTTTTAGTATGAATCCCATTAAAAGCAATCGAAAACCAATTTGGATTATTGCCAAATGGGTCTGTCAACTTCAAGTGGTCCTGGGATATCTGCCGGAAATTTTCATAAATATGCACATGTTACTTTCTCTACAGAAGTTCAGGCTTTATTAGCCGATTGGCGTTGTTTATTAAATATTGCGTCATCCAGGAAGTATATTGATGAAATAAACGGAATGACAAAATGGAAAAATCGATTTTTAAAGAAAGTAAATAAAAAGCGAATCATGCTAGAAAGAACGTGATGAAAGAAAAATATGCAACGTAATGAAACGGCCCGATCCTTACAGGAGAAATGGACCAGTTCGCCATCAAGAGCCTCGGGGATCTAATATCTAATCTGTCAGATTTGAGAGCCAGACTCTCCCAGTCAGATCGGATTGCCATGTTCATATATTTTTTTCTGCATCAGAAGTATGAATTTGTACTTCTCGTTTTCGTCTGTTGACCACGTACACCCAAGCAAATGGGGCGCAGGGCATCGGGCGTAAAGATCTTGTCTGGTAATTTAACGACAGTGTCAAAATGATCTTTTGAAAGTCGTTTTTATTTTTTTGCTGCGCAAATGACAGCGAGAACAATATGTCATTTTCATTTAGTTGATTTTGGTCTCATTTCATTTAATATTCAACCTTTCCCGTCACACTTGATTATTCACCGGTTATGTTCGCATTTGTATTCGGCGACTGCAGGAGACGCGGAGAAGGACGCCCTGTTGGCCGTGGGGCTGAGCAAGTCCTTCGGGCGCTTCGTCGCCGTGGATCGCTTGAACATCGGGGTCCACCACGGCGAGTGCTTCGGCCTGCTGGGCGTGAACGGGGCGGGGAAGACGACGACGTTCAAGGTGCTGACAGGAGCGGAAGACATGACCTCGGGCGGGGCGTGCATCCTGGGATTTGACCTTGGCCTGAAGCGTAGAAAGGTGGCAAATTTTTTCGATTCGCGTTTTAAATTCTGGTTGTCGTGTCTGAAACGCGATGGCGTGACTGCAGTACCTGTGTCACGTGGGCTATTGCCCTCAATTCGATGCCCTGGTGGATCTGATGACCGGGAAGGAGACCCTGCTGATGTATGCCCGACTTCGAGGTATTCCTGAGTCCGTTGCGGAACAACACGTCCAATCGCTTATTGACAAACTTGGTATGGACAATTATCCAATCGAGAGAATACGAAATTCGATCGTCGTGGCATTTGATCCGAATAGAAACCAAAAATACCAATGAGTTGGAGTTTTTCAATCCCCTTGATTGTCGTGGTTCATCCGATCAGGACTCACGGAGTATAAAGACAAGCACTGTGGGACATACAGCGGCGGAAACAAGCGGAAACTGAGCACAGCCATCGCCATGGTGGGAGAGCCGACTCTGCTGTTCCTGGACGAGCCGACCTCAGGCGTGGATCCCGTCTCCAGGCGCAACATCTGGCAGGCCCTGGTCGACTGCACCGAAAACGGCCAGAGCATCGTTCTCACGTCCCATAGGTATTTGCCCTCCAACTATTCTCGATCGCTACAACTCTTTCCTTTAGAAGTTCTTACTGAAAAAGTTAAGCACATTTAAAGCTCATTGAATTCACGACTAAGGGAGGATGATTGAAGAAACTATAAATAATGCAGCTTTGACCACATCGTGCAATAAACCATCGGAATTCTTACTTTTCACTTCCAAAATGCTCTTCTACGCACTCTATGGTTGCATTATTCTATCAACTTAGAAATTAATATGAAATTTATATATTAAATTCTATAATTAAAGAGAGATCTCTTCTCATGAAGCATGAAAGTACATTACCTTTCAACAGGTTACATTCCAATATTTCCTTTGTGAATCGATGAAACTCTGTCGTCAGCATGGAGGAATGCGAGTACTTGTGTCACCGACTCGGGATCATGGTGAACGGGCGGTTCCGTTGCCTGGGTAACCCGCAGTACCTCAAGGACAAGTACTGTCAAGGGTACTCCATCAAGGTGAAGACGAGGATGTCCGCGTCGGCAGTGAGGATCGCAGAGCTCAAGGTCTTCCTCGCTCAATCCTTTGCAGGATCCTTCCCACAAGACGAATATATGGTACGATTATAGGATATACTATTATATTAATTATTTTACGTTCTTTCTCTTCATTTGAATGTAATTATTAATCGAGTAACTTATTGCAAGGAGGAAAACTATACTTGTCTCTAGCCGCATCAGTAGTGCAACCGATAATTGTGGAATTTACTTGTTTAAGATGTGGATATGGAGATATTTTTATTGGCGAGGATTAAAATGAAAATGCTGTTCCAATGAGTTGCATTCGATCGTGAATGAAGCAAAATTCAATAATGAAATTCATTTAGAAAGGAAAGCAATAATGATTAACCCAGTGTAGGAACTGGTAGCCGATCGTGGGAGAATTTTTAGGTATGATAAACGATTGAGAGATATTCATATGACTCGGAGTGGTTTAGCGATTTTTCGTGATTTTTGCCTCCTTCCCAGGGAATGCTGAACTTCCGAGTGGAACGCCGGGAAGTGACCTGGGCCCAGCTCTTCTCGACCGTGAGGGAAATGCAGACGAGATTCGAGGACGTGGTCGAGGACTCTCTCGTCGGGGAAACGAGTCTGGAGGAAGTCTTCCTTTCTTTCGCGAGCGAGCAGGTCCAGCAGAGACCGAAGGCCAAGTGCCGGATTTGCTCTTGCTTTTGCGGCGGCAGGTCCCAGTGAGGACCGACTAGGAGGAACTGATTTTTCTTGGAATTTTTTCGTTGCTCAATCCTTGGCTTTGTTATTATTATTGTACTCTTTGAGACATGATTTTGAACAAGCGAAGTCTAGACTCAACCTTGTAAGGGAAATAAAATTGACCTACCAACGTCACGGATTCCGTCAAATAGACATCGACGAATGAAATGAGTTCCTCCCCGGGGATACTATGCAATCGAAGAGCCGTCTTTCGGTGAAATAAAATACTCAAACATCTTATGCAGATGAATGCGTAAAAAGCGAGGTCTAGATTCAACTTCCTCACATTCCTCGCGTCGGACGGGATTCGCGGAAATTCGCGAAAATGTTGCAGGCAATTCAAGACGATAACGGAAGCGAGAAATTATCGAATAGCAAGTTTTGCAAATTCCGTAGTATGTTTGCCAGTGGGTGAATCCTCCGTGACGCTGTATGCGAGAAAGTGACGGCGGATCTCAGAATTTAACCTGCTTAAATATTTTTAAAGCAACCCTAGTAGCATAGAAAACATTGAATCAACATCGATTCAGCGTTGGTTCAACGTCCGGATGATGAATCAACGTTGAATTAATGTTGCTTCGATGTTATGTGCTACTAAGATCGCGTCTGGTGATGGTCCCTGGTCCTTCCCCTCTTCACTGATTGCACCTTCGCGATTCCAGGGCCCATGAGCGAAGTAAAGTTTATCGAAATTTTTTAAAATGAAACTCTCAAAGAGCCTCGAAATTGAAGCGAATCGGTGGCCTGACTCGACCCGAGTGTTTCCCGTAGCAATTCGATGACGTTCCTCGCCACCCCCGTTTCGTTCGGGGCGAAGAGGAGCGGCCCGCACCAATCCAATCCTGGCAAGAGATCCCGCTCGCCCTTCGCCGGACAGATCTCGTCGGGGCGTGTCTCGACCCCGCCGACCGGATCCGGCGGCGTGTGGTACAGCCCGACGAGAGTAGGATCGGGATGACGACCTCCAAGCCCGTCAACCCCGCATGCCTCCACCGCAGCATCAGGTTCTTCCGCACGAGGACGAACTTCCTCGCGATCTCGGCTGAAAAATGCATCATTTCGATGCATCATCATCATCATTTCGATGCATCATTTCGTCCCTTTCGAGTCTCAAGAGAAACCGAGAATCAGATTGATTTTACCTAAACAAACAAATTTTCATGTACTCTAGACGCGGTTGGAAGAAACATTTTGTATCTACTATCAGATTGTATCATAGGAGATACCTTTATTAAGATGATGAAGTCACCGTAAAAGATAATGTGCATGTCCGGCATAACGGAATAAAACGGTCGCGCCGGAGAGTCGCTACCCAGTTTCAGCCTTATACGTTTCTCCGTCTTGCCGGCGGAAAAAAAATGTATTTGGAAAAGCGACCAACCCAAAAGCTGTGCTCTGAGGTGACGCACGATAAAAGCTGAATTCCTCCTTAAATCAAGATCACGTCCGTTATGCGTGCGCCAGCTGCAACTTTTCTATTTCTGCCCGATTCTGTAGGATATGAAAAATTATTTTAAAATGTTACGTCCTCAAGAAATATGAACCCCAAAACTAGTTTGGAAATTTGACGTTTGACATTTGAGCTTGCCCAAGTAACACAGCATGTTGATGAAATGTCTCCGAAATGTTGCCTATGTTGCTCTATGTTGCAAGTTGATCGACAACATTCATAAAACGTTGCTTCAATGTTTCCCCTTGAAATGTTGCTACGACACTTCTACGAACGTCATTGCAACATTTGCTATCAACATCGAGAGAAAGTTGACGCTCTTGACACCGACAACGTGGCGACAACATTCTGATGCAACAAGGACTTAAAAGTTTTAGGAAATCGATAAGTATAAAATAAATCTCCTTGCCACGAGACGGAGACGTGGGTCTTTCGCTTTTCCCACAATGCACAAAGGTGCCCTTCTTCCTTTCCCTGTTCTCGTCCCGCACGGGAATGTTTAGTACCTTGCCAAATGACTCGCATTGTCTCCTTATAGGAATCAATGAACACGGACGCATCATCACTTGTTATCCTCATATTCGAGACAGATTGATGCGGTCATGATAAAGAAGCTCCTGTTCCCAAAAATAACCCTTTCTAAGAACTCGTCCCTTGCATCCTGCATTATAATAAAAACGATGGCAGGGAGTCTATGATCTCAATCGTTCACATCCTCATCCTGAGAACCAGATGAGGAAAAGACGGACAGATTTCATGGACGCTCCAAAGAACATGGCGAGCCTGCCCTTTTCTTGTAATGTGCCATATTTAGCACCTTACAGGGGAAGATCACCTCGAAAAATGTCCCATATCTCCTGCCTGTACATGATACAGATAACGTATTATGCATGGGTAGGGCTTATACCAGTACGGGCTTCGTCCTGTTGATGGGAATGTCTGAGTGGAGGTAAAGTAAATGGTACGGAATGATGAAATAAATAATTCAATATCGGTCCAGTTCAGGGCCAGTGACGCCTATGCTCTTCCGTAATGCCAATATAGGCCCTGATTAGGTGCCAATGAAGCAAAGTTTTTAATCAACATTGCAGCAACATAAATCCTGGAACGTTTCTGCAATGGATATGTAATGAATAAGTAACGATTAGCAACGAAATCGCAATGTTCCTTCGCAACATTTGAGCAACGTTTTTCGTTTTGGACATTTACACTTAGATGCAACATTGTTCATCAACATTTCCTAAACGTTGCTGGAATGTCTTGTGTTACTTGGGTAGTGCGTCAACGGTCACGTTCTTGCCATGTTTCAGCTTTCCATGTTCAACAGTTTAACTGATGCAAAAAAATTGTTGAAAACATCTCCTTTCCACATCGTGCAGGGGTACTTTGACACCTCCTCGCTCTTCTCCCCTTATTCGTATTATTCTGAATACGGATCTGATAGTAAGCAGTGTATCCTCTGATCAAGAAGGCGTGTTTTGCTGCATTTGGTCGAGTTGGTCTCTGACAGCACGCATAAATGCGCGAATAAGAAACAAGACTGTTCCCAAGTATTAATGAATGATCCAGGTTTCCCCGTCCCACGTAAAGAAATATATATACCTGTATATATATCAAAATAATAATTATAATAAACCGATAAAAATAAAAATGCAAATAATAAATGTATAATAATAATAATAATATTAATAATGCAGCTTAATGCGCTAAGTTTATCATAATTTAAGAACTATAAGTTACAAGCCAAAATCCGACGAACTCAAACATGCGCGCTTTTTACGCATTCAACTGCATAAGATTTTTGAGTCATTTATTTCACCGAACGACGGCTCTTCGATTGCATAGATCCCCGGGGAGGAACTCAATTCATTCGTCGATGTCTATTTGACGGAATCCGTGACAATGGTAGGTCAATTTTATTTCCCTTACAAAGTTGAGTCTAGACTTCGCTTGTTTAAGATCATGCCCCAAAACAGAACAATAATAATAACAGCGGAGGAATGAGCAACGAAAAAATTCCAAGAAAAATCAATTCCTCCTAGTCGGTCCTCACTGGGACCTGCCGCCACAAAAGCAAGAGCAAATCCGGCACTTGGCCATCGGTCTCTGCTGGACCTGCTCGCTCGCGAAAGAAAGGAAGACTTCCTCCAGACTCGTTTCCCCGACGAGAGAGTCCTCGACCACGTCCTCGAATCTCGTCTGCATCTCCCTCACGGTCGAGAAGAGCTGGGCCCAGGTCACGTCCCGGCGTTCCACTCGGAAGTTCAGCATTCCCTGGGAAGGAGGCAAAAATCACGAAAAATCACGAAAAATCCGAGACATATAAATATCTCCCAATCGTATGTCATATCTGCAAATTCTCTTAATTTCACTATTGAATTTCGCTTCATTCAAGATCGAATGCAACTCATCAGAACAGAATTTGAAATTTAATCCTCGCCAATCGAAATATCTCCATATCCACATCTTCAACAAGTAGTTTCCACACTTATCGGTTGCACTACTGATGCGGCTACAGACAAGTATAGTTTTCCTCCTAGCAATAAGTTACTCGATTAAGAATTACATTCAAATGAAGAGAAAGAACGTAAAATAATTAATATAAAAATATCGTATGATCGTACCATATATTCCTCTTGCGGGAAGGATCCTGCAAAGGATTGAGCGAGGAAGACCTTGAGCTCTGCGATCCTCTCTGCCGACGCGGACATCCTCGTCGTCACCTTGATGGAGTACCCTTGACAGTACTTGTCCTTGAGGTACTGCGGGTTACCCAGGCAACGGAACCGCCCGTTCACCATGATCCCGAGTCGGTGACACAAGTACTCGCATTCCTCCATGCTGACGAGAGAGTTTCATCGATTCACAAGGAAATATTAGACTGTAAACTGTTGAAAGATAATGTACTTTCATGCTTCCTGTAAAGAGATCTCTCTTTAATTATAGAATTTAATATAGAAATTTCATATTGATTTCTAATTTTATAGAATAATGCAACCATAGAGTGCGTAGAAGAGCATCTTGGAAGTGAAAAGTAAGAATTCCGATGGTTTATTGCACGATGTGGTCAAAGCTGCATTATTAATATTTTCTTCAATCATCCTCTCTTAGTCGTGAATTCCATGAGCTTAAAATGTGCTTACCTTTTTCAGTAAGAACTTCTAAAGGAAAGAGTCGTAGAGATAGAGAATAGTTGGAGGGCAGATACCTATGGGACGTGAGCACGATGCTCTGGCCGTTTTCGGTGCAGTCTACCAGGGCCTGCCAGATGTTGCGCCTGGAGACGGGATCCACGCCTGAGGTCGGCTCTCCCACCATGGCGATGGCTGTGCTCAGTTTGCGCTTGTTTCCGCCGCTGTATGTCCCGCAGTGCTTGTCTTTATACTCCGTGAGTCCTGATCGGATGAACCACGACAATCAGGCGAATGAAAAAACCCCAAATCTATGGTATTTTTGGTTTCTATTCGGATCAAATGCCACGACGATCGAATTTCGTATTCTCGCGATTGGATAATTGTCCATACCAAGTTTGTCAATAAGCGATTGGACGTGTTGTTCCGCAACGGACTCCGGAATACCTCGAAGTCGGGCATACATCAGCAGGGTCTCCTTCCCGGTCATCAGATCCACCAGGGCATCGAATTGAAGGCAATAGCCCACGTGATACAGGTACTGCAGTCACACCATCGCGTTTCAGACACGACAACCAGAATTTAAAACGCGCATCGAAAAAATGTGCCACCTTTCTACACTTCAGGCCAAGGTCAAATCCCAGGATGCACGCCCCGCCCGAGGTCATGTCTTCCGCTCCTGTCAGCATCTTGAACGTCGTCGTCTTCCCCGTTCCGTTCACGCCCAACAAACCGAAGCACTCGCCGTGGTGGACCCCGATGTTCAAGCGATCCACGGTGACGAAGCGCCCGAAGGGCTTCCTCAGCCCCACGGCCAACAGGGCGTCCTTCTCCGCGTCTCCTTCAGTCGCCGAATACAAATGCGAACATAACCGGTGAATAATCATGTGCGACGGGAAAGGTTGAATGTTAAACGAAATGAGACCAAAATCAACTAAATGAAAATGACATATTGTTCTTGCTGTCATTTGCGCAGCTAAAAAATATAAACGACTTTAAAAGGAACAATTTAAGCACTGTCGTTCAATTGCCAGACAAGATCTTTACGCCCGATGCCCAGCGCCCCATTTGCCTGGGTGTACGTGGTCAACAGACGAAAACGAAAAGTACAAATGCATATTACAGATGCAGAAAAAAATATATGAACTCGATAATCCGATCTGACTTTGGGAGTTCGGCTCTCAAATCTGACAGATTAGATATTAGATCCCCGAGGGTCTTCGTGGCGGCCAGGTCTCCTGTAAGGATCGGCCCGATCCTTACGTTTAATTACTATACATATTTTTCTTTCATAACGTTCTTTATGGCATGATTCGCTTTGTATTTACTTTCTCTAAAAATCGATTTTTCCATGTCTCCAGTTGAAGGCTTTTAAAATAAGTCTAAAACTTGTGAATTTGTCGAATTTTGTCATTCCGTTTCTTTCATCAATATACTTCCTGAATGATGCAACATTTAATAAACGGCGCCAATCGGCTAATAAAGCCGAAATCTTGACCGACTTCTTCTGAGGCCAGCCTCTACCAGCGGGAATCGTTACGTCCATTACGCGTTAAAATCCTTACGCGGTGAGCGAACCTGAAAGATCATCCTCATCAGATATTAAAGATTAGCATCGGAAGGATTCCAATGCCGTATTCCAGCAACCGTCCTTGACCCTCTTAATCTCGAGATATTTTGGGATTAGGAGGGTTAAACGCGGTTAAGGAGCGGTTAGTGAATTTTCTCATTTCCTTTCAATTAGTCTGAGCCTGTTGCAACTAATCAGTTTTTTTGCGGTCTGTCCACAGGCCTTGACGACGTGGCACATTTTCGCACCAATTCCGAACCAGTCCTTGAACCATTCGGTCCTACTCATTCCGTAAAGGGACTCAAGACTCCACTAGCAAGAAAAAACCCATTTTCCTGTCTTCCCAGGAACAATATTTGGGTCCGTCCACGGTGTCGGACGTGACATCCGGAGTAATATGTTTAGTATGCAAAATGTATCTAACTGTAAATTAAATGTAATTAAATGAGTAATATCTATATATTTATTCGAATTTCCATATAAAGACTGCAACATTTGCTTTGGGTGGTGATTGAAAATTCCATAATCCAACGTCTTGCACTCTTTTGTTCGAGGTGTTCCAATGTGCAAGGAAAGGTGACAGACGTGACATTTCGTGAACACTCAAGTTAAAGTCATTCGCTCCAATGTTCACAGAACTCTCATCGAGCCGACCCTAAGGATTTAGTTTCGCGTTCGTTCTCTAGATTGAATGAATGCTTGGAATTAGTGTGACTCATCCCAAGATTGCAACACTTGAAGCAGAAAGTAAACTTATTTTGTGATGTTGTTGGATGTGAATCGTTCTGAAAATGTATTTTGAAACGGGAAGTCCGTGCAAATCTTTCAATTTCGTTTTAAAGGTTTCATTTAAATGCGAATAATTGAGAACTACTCTTCACACCTCAGCCGATTTGAAATTATCTCCTTTGGCGTGTGTCCCACTAGTCCAATTGAGCCTCTCCAGATCAGCATTTTCATCACGTTTTTGAGTATTGTGGGAATGGCAGCAATAATATATCATAATCCACTTTTCCATTATTTTTGCTTGAGTAAAACGGAGAGACATGGAAAGCTGAAACGTGGCAAGGACGTGCCTACCGAGACGATGAGTTTGTCAGCATGGAGGAATGCGAGTACTTGTGTCACCGACTCGGGATCATGGTGAACGGGCGGTTCCGTTGCCTGGGTAACCCGCAGTACCTCAAGGACAAGTACTGTCAAGGGTACTCCATCAAGGTGACGACGAGGATGTCCGCGTCGGCAGAGAGGATCGCAGAGCTCAAGGTCTTCCTCGCTCAATCCTTTGCAGGATCCTTCCCGCAAGAGGAATATATGGTACGATTATATGATATTTTTATTTTAATTATTTTACGTTCTTTCTCTTCATTTGAATGTAATTATTAATCGAGTTACTTATTGCAAGGAGGAAAATTATACTTGTCTCTAGCCGCATCAGTAATGCAACCGATAACTGTGGAATTTACTTGTTTAAGATGTGGATATGGAGATATTTCGATTGCCGAGGATTAAAATGAAAATGCTGTTCCAAGCAGAAACAACAAGCGGAAACTGAGCGCAGCCATCGCCATGGTGGGAGAGCCGACTCTGCTGTTCCTGGACGAGCCGACCTCAGGCGTGGATCCCGTCTCCAGGCGCAACATCTGGCAGGCCCTGGTAGACTGCACCGAAAACGGCCAGAGCATCGTGCTCACGTCCCATAGGTATCTACCCTACAACTATTCTCGATCGCTACAACTGTTTCTTTTAGAAGTTCATACTAAAAAAGTTAAGCTCATTTAAAGCTCATGGAATTCACGACTAAGGGAGGATGATTGAAGAAACTATTAATAATGCAGTTTTGACCACATCGTGCAAGAATACTTTGACACCTCCTCGCTCTTCTCCCCTTATTCGTATTATTCTGAATACGGATCAGATAGTAAGCAGTGTATCCTCTGATGAAGAAGGCGTGTTCTGTTGCATTTGGTCGAGTTGGTCTCTGACAGCACGCATGAATGCGCGAATAAGAAACAAGACTGTTCCCAAGTATTAATGAATGATCCAGGTTTCCCCGTCCCACCTAAAAAAAATATATATACCTGTATATATATCAAAATAATAATTATAATAAACCGACGAAAATAAAAATGCAAATAATAAATTTATAATAATAATATTAATAATGCAGCTTAATGCGCTAAGTTTATCATAATTTAAGAACCATGAGTTACAAGCCAAAATCCGACGAACTGAAACATGCGCGCTTTTTACGCATTCATCTGCATAAGATATTTGAGTCATTTATTGCACCGAACGAAGGCTCTTCGATTGCATAAATCCCCGGGGAGGAACTCAATTCATTCGTCGATGTCTATTTGACGGAATCCGTAACGTTGGTAGGTCAATTTTATTTCCCTTGCAAAGTTGAGTCTAGACTTCGCTTGTTTAAGATCATGCCCCAAACAGAACAATAATAATAACAGCGGAGGAATGAGCAACGAAAAAATTCCAAGAAAAATCAGTTCCTCCTTGTCGGTCCTCACTGGGACCTGCCGCCACAAAAGCAAGAGCAAATCCGGCACTTGGCCTTCGGTCTCTGCTGCACCTGCTCGCACGCGAAAGAAAGGAAGACTTCCTCCAGACTCGTTTCCCCGACGAGAGAGTCCTCGACCACGTCCTCGAATCTCGTCTGCATCTCCCTCACGGTCGAGAAGAGCTGAGCCCAGGTCACGTCCCGGCGTTCCACTCGGAAGTTCAGCATTCCCTGGGAAGGAGGCAAAAATCACGAAAAAACACGAAAAATCGGAGACATATAAATATCTCCCAATCGTATGTCATATCTACAAATTCTCCCACGATCGGCTACCAATACTACTCCGGTTTAATCAATGGCAATGCTTTTGAAATTAATTTCATTATTGAATTTCGCTTCATTCAAGATCGAATGCAACTCATCAGAACATCATTTACATTTTAATCCTCGCCAATCGAAATATCTCCATATCCACATATTGAACAAGTAGTTTCCACACTTATCGGTTGCACTACTGATGCGGCTAGAGACAAGTATAGTTTTCCTCCTTGCAATAAGTTACTCGATTAATAATTACATTCAAATGAAGAGAAAGAACGTAAAATAATTAATATAAAAAATCATATAATCGTACCATATATTCGTCTTGTGGGAAGGATCCTGCAAAGGATTGAGCGAGGAAGACCTTGAGCTCTGCGATCCTCTCTGCCGACGCGGACATCCTCGTCTTCACCTTGATGGAGTACCCTTTACAGTACTTGTCCTTGAGGTACTGCGGGTTACCCAGGCAACGGAACCGCCCGTTCACCATGATCCCGAGTCGGTGACACAAGTACTCGCATTCCTCCATGCTGACGACAGAGTTTCATCGATTCACA